AGTGGTTTATTGTGTCAAAGGCCGCTGAGAGGTCCAAGAGCACCAACATGGTCATACTACCTCTGTCAATACCCAAGTGGAGGTCATCGGTCAGAGCAACCATGGCTGTCTCAACTCCAAATCCCGTCCTAAAGCCAGTTTGAAATGAATTGAGATAATCGGTTTCATCCAAGATGGCTTGGAGTTGGGAAGCAACTGCCCTCTCGATCACCTTGCTTAAAAATGGTAGCAAGGAGACTGGCCTATAGTTGTTTCTGTCCAGGGGATCTAGGGAAGGTTTTTTCAGGAGTGGCTTAACTGCCGCCTCCTTTAAACAAGATGGCATACTACCTTCCCTGAAGGATGGGTTGTTTGTGTCCTGAAGGAACACTCTCAACATGTCCCCTCCCTAGACGACCAGCCGCGATGGACAAGGATTGAGAGGGCAAGTTGTCTTCCTCATCCTTCCAAGCAACTTGTCCATGTCATCGGTACTCACAGATTGTAATTGATCCAGTAAAATGCCATCAATGGAGTTACTGGATGCCTCGTCTACAGATTCTGCCAAAACATTGGTGTTTAAGTCGGCTCTTATCCGAGAGATTTTATCTGCAAAGTAGATATTAAATGCCTCACAGCAGGCTGTCGTTGGGTTAAGTAGGGGGTTCATCACAGGAGGTACCCTTGTCAAATCCTCTACCACCCTAAACAGTTCTGCCAGGCGAGACTCTGCAGACACAATACGTGCAGAACAGAAAGATTTCTGCGCTGCACGTAAAGCCTCCCTATAGGAGTCAAGATGCATCCTAAGGCAAGTTCTGTCGGATGAGAGACGAGTCTTTCGCCATTCGCCTCCAGTCGTTGTCCAACCCGCTTCATCCTCCTAAGCTCTTCTGTGTACCATTGCTTATGATTTGTTGTGTGCCTTCAGGTCATTTCCAACTTACAGCAACCCTAAGGTGACCCTATCATGGAGTTTTATTGGCAAGATTTGTTCAGAGGAGGTTTACCATTTCCTTCCCCTTGCCCAAGGTCACTCAGTGGGTTTCATGGACAAGCAGGGAATTGAACCTTAGTCCCCAGAGTCATAGTCCAACACTCAAACCACTAAGCCATGCTGGCTCCATTGAATATTACCTGAGTGTAGGCATACCAAACTATAGGGTGAGTACATTGTGCCTAGGTCCCAAATCTTGATTTGCATTCTGAACATGGGGGCAAACTGTAGTTTACAATTTCACTTTTTCTCACTTCCCCCTCCAAAGACTCCTCAGTTGCTTTCCCCCAATTACTCTGCCTTACTGTCTGGAAAACAAAAGGCCACATGTTCTACAACATAGCTGTTGGCTGATTTCCTCAATAGCTGAGGATGCTCTTACTCAGAAAACTATAACTGACTACCAACTGTGCTGATCACACAGCACATTCCTGCCTTTTCTGACGTTTCCCTTCATTTTTCCATACAGGTCCTGTTTTTTTTTTTTTTTTTGGTGCATTGGAAAGTCTTTAATTACTAATTTTTATTTCATTGTTGTACTATTCGCATTTCGAAAAATGAAATGGTGCTGTTTTTGCCAGTATGTGATAAAAGAAATACAGTGAAACTAGTAATTTAAAGCTGTCTGAAGAACAAAAATTAGGCAATTCTGAGAAGATTATCACACATGATCCAATGCGACTTATCCCCAATGGGATACACATGCATTTAACCAGCAATGATGGATCTTACCGCATTCCCCATCAGCAGCCCATATGCAGTAAGATCCAAGGGAATGTGGTAAGATCCAGGGAATGTAGTAAGATTTGTAATTATTGGTTAAATGCGCATCTACCTTTTTGGAGATAAGTTGCGGTGGATCGCATGTGATAATCTCCTAAGATATTATTTGAAGGGCAATTAAGGGGCAATTCATCTTGAAGGAACGCTTCTCCCCACACAATCTACCCCACACTCTCAGAACATCTGGGAAGAACCTTATGACCAGGCTAAGCATAACTTCCCATAGATCATTCACGGCTGCAGTCCCCAGGTTATGGAATAGCCTACTGGAAGAGATTCATCTTATCACTACCTTAGATGCCTTTAAGAAGGCACTTAAGACAGATATCTTCTGGCAGGCCTATCCACCAGATCTCTACAGTAAATTTCTAAGTTAAAAATGCACTACTTGATTTTATTGCTTGGTTTTTCAGTTTTTAGTGATGTCTGGCTATTTTATTGAGTTATTAACAATGTGATTATTTTATTGATTGTACTTTTTGATATTTGTATTATGTTTTTACTGATGTAATCCTGCCTCGATCCGCAGGGAGAGGTGGAAAATATAAATAAAAATTATATAATAATAATAATAATAATTAAACTTTATTTTAATATCCTGCCTTTTGTCAAGCCAATCAAGGCAGCTTACATAATGTAAAAATAAATTAATAAAACATACCTTCTATTAAACGATAAATACAATAATAACAATTAACCCCCCTTATTAAAAAATACAATATTAAGATAAGAACATAACATTTAAAAACTTCCTGCATTCTAGATATGTGTATACAAAGGGTATATAGCAAGGTAGAGGCACAGATTGAAATGGAGTGATCTAATCTGGGAAGACCTGCTGGAAGAGATCTGTTTTGACAGCTTTGTTAAAGCTGTCCAAGTTGGTTATTTGATGGATCTCCACTGGCAAGGCGTTCCACAATCTGGGGGCGGCAGTGAATAACGTCCTCTGGGAGGTTAACACTAATTTAATTTTTACCAGTTGCAGCAGATTCCTCCCTGAGGACCTGTGGGTGTGGGGCAGATTGTATGGAAGAAGGCGATCTCTTAGATTGGTTGGACCCAGGCCGTGTAGGGCTTTAAAGGTAATCACCAACACCTTATACTGTGCTCAGAACCCAATAGGCAGCCAGTGCAGAGATTTCAGCACAGGTGTGATATGATCACTCTTGGATGTATCAGAGATCAGCCTGGCTGCCATATTTTGTACTAGTTGTAGTTTCCAAGCTATGTATAAGGGTAGCCCCATGTAGAGTGCATTGCAGAAATCGAGTCATGATGTTACAGTGCATGTACTACAGTTTCTAGGTCCCTTATTTCCAGGAAAGGGCGCAGTTGGCGTATCAGCTCAAGCTGATAACAGGCGCTCCTGACTGTCGCATTCACCTGATCTACCATGTGAAGCGGCGAGTCTAGGAGCACCCCCAGACTGCAAACACAGTTCTTAGTGGAGAGTGTTACCCCGTTCAGATTGTAACTCAATACCTGGTTTAGGGCCCCCAACTGTGAGTACCTCCGTTTTGTCTGGATTCAGCTTGAGCCAGTTTTACCTCATTCAATACCGCCTCAAGACATTGATTGAGGGGAGAGATGCCATCTGTCGACATGGATGATGACTGAGACATGGAGAAATAGATTTGGGTGTAGTTTTTTTTGTGGGTTTTTTGGGCTGTGTGGCCATGTTCTAGAAGAGTTTCTTTCTGACGTTTTGCTAGCATCTGTGGCTGGCATCTTGAAGATGCCAGCCACAGATGCTGTCGAAACGTCAGAAAGAAACTCTTCTAGAACATGGCCACACAGCCCAAAAAACCCACAAAAAACTATGGATACCAGCCATGAAGCCTACGACTTCATATTTGGGTGTCATTGGCATATTGATAACATCCCACCCCATGTCTCCAGATGATATCCCAGTGATGCTGTACAGGAGGCAATAACATGGACAAGATGTTCAAACAGGATATTTACAATAAAGTTTAGACAAGAATAGTATTCCCTTGGTTAATGTTTCATACATTGGATGAAACAGTTGTGGTGAACCTCAAATTAAAACCATTTACAAAAAGGCAAGGCAAGAGCCCTCTAGTTTTAAGAACAATCTTGAATGGTTCTTTAAGGGTGTTGATGAGTAGCATTTTTTAAATATGAAAAAGCATCCTTTCTATGCATTCCACATGTACATCTCCCTTTTGTCTCATTTACTTTGTTAATGTTTTGTTTCCCAGTGTCTGAGAAGAAACCTGATTAACAAGCATTAATCTTTCTGTGCAGAAAATCCTAAAATGTACAGAGTTAGTGCAAACCAGAAACATTGTCTGTTTAATCTATCTTTTTGTCGTTAACTGCCCTAGAGTTGATCTCAACCTATGGCGACCCTGTAGATGAGACATCTCCAAGACCTTCTGTCTTCCACTGCTCTGCTTAAATCCTGCAGACCCATATCCATGACCTCCTTAATAGAGTCCATCCATCCAGCATATGTCTTTCCTCTCTTCCTACTTCCCTCCACCTTTCCCAGCATGATGGTCTTTTCCAATGAGTCCAATGAGTCCTCCCTTCTCATGATGTGTCTGAAGTACGACAGCCTCAGTTTGGTTATCTTGGCTTCCAGGGAGGTTTCTGGCTTGATCTGCTCTAGGACCCATTTGTTTGTCTTATTGGCTGTCCAAGGGATCGCTTCTCCAGCACTACATTTCAAATGAATTGACTTTCTTCATATTATCTTTTTAACTGTCCTGCTCTCACATGCATACATGGTAATAGGGAATGCGATGGCTTGTGTGTTTCTAACTTTTGGGCTTAGTTGTATATCTTTGGATTATAGAATCTTTTCTAATTCTTTCATGGCTGCCCTCCCCACTTCTTCTGATTTCCTGACTGCCGTCCCCATTTCTATCAATGTTTGATCCCAGGTATGAAGATTCTTTTACTATTTCTATTTCTTCATTTTCAAGGTTGAACTTGTGAAGGTCCTCGGTGGTCATTATTTTAGTTTTCTTTATGTTCAACATTAAGCCTGCCTTTGAACTTTCTTCTTTGATCTTCCTTAGTAGGTGTTCCAGGTCTGTAAGGTTTTCTGTTACTATTGTGGTGTCATCTGCATATCTGAGATTGTTGATATTCCCTCCTCCTATTTTCACTCCTCCTTCTTCTGTGTCCAAGTCTGCTTCTCTTATAATATGATCTGCATACAACTTGAACATATAGGGTGAAAGTATGCAACCTTGTCTGACTCTTTTGCTAATTGGGGACCATTCTGTTTCTCCGTGTTCTGTTCTGACAGTAGCCTATTGTCCTGAATACAGATTCCTCATTAGGACTCTCAGATGTGTTAGCACTCCCATGTCTTTAAGGGCATTCCATAGCCTTTCATGATCTATGCAGTCAAAGGCTCTGCTATAGTCTATAAAGCACATGCTGATTTTCTTTTGGAATTCCCTGCTGTGCTCCATTAGTCATCGTATGTTTGCAATAGGGTCACTCATGCCTCCTGAATCCCACTTGGACCTCTGGGATTTCTCTTTCCATGTATGGTTGGAGTCTATGTTGTAGAATTTTGAGCATAATTTTGCTTGTGTGGGAGATCAGTGCTATGGTCCTATAGTTGCTGCAGTCTTTTGTGTCTCCCATTTTGTGGATGGGGATATATATTGCTCACTTCCAATCTGTTGGCCATCATTTTGTTTTCCATATCTGTTGACATATCTTGGTTAGCACTAGAGTTGACTCTGTCAATGTGGATTGCAGCAGTTCAACTGGAATATCATCTGTTCCTGGTGATTTGTTTGTCACTATTTCTCTTATTGCAGTTTCCACCTTGCTTTTTAGAATTGGAGGTTCATCTTTGTATGGTTCTTTGTTCCATGTGTCCTTCATTTTTTTCATCTCTTTTGTATAATTCTTTTGTGTAGTGCATCTAACATCTTTTTGTTCCTTCCTGGTCTTGAATTATGTTATTTTTATTGTCATACAGCATCCTGGTCCTTGGCTTGAATTTTCCTTTAATTTCCTGGATCTTGTGAAATAGATCTCTTGTTCTTCTCTTTTTGTTATTGTCTTCTATTTCTCTGCATTGGTCATTGTAGTAATTTTCTTTATCTTTCCGCACAGCCGTTGTACTGTTGCATTCCTGATTCTTAGTTTGTTCCTATCTCCCTTTTGTTTTTCTTTTCTTTATTGCTTGTAGTATTTTTCCTGTCACCCATAGTTTTTTCTCTTTCTTTTTGTTTATTGAAAGTGTCT